TGATTACGATGCTAGTCGACAATAACCGGTGTTATATAATGCAGAAGAGACTTGTATACATTATTGGTATTTTGCTTGGTAGCTGTTTAATGGGGAGCCGGGATAGCTAAGTCGGTTACGGGCTGGACGATCGAGAGGTCGGAGTTCAAGTCCTGATGGGGGTAATAATTTTCACTTCTCCACATCCAGACCGGCTATGGGGCCCACCCAAACTCCTATCCAATGGGTACCGGGGGAACTTTCCCCGCGGGTAAAGAAGAAGGGGCGTGAAGCTGACCACTCACCTCCAACTACTGACGAGGTCAAGAAAGTGTGGATCTATACATCCACTGCCTCTTCATGGTGTAGTGCTTAATTATTTAAACATAGGGACAACTGTACCTTTACTGTTTAATGCAAAAAGCAATCAGTATGATGCGCATGGCTAATATGAAATTAATCAACAGAGATCTGCAGGCCCTTTTACAAGACTGCCTTATCAGATAGGGAGTTTCTTTACTTCAGTACTCAGTTTCATTTACTGAAAGCCACAGGTGAAGAACGAGCTCTTGAGATTGCTTCACTTTTCTCCAAGAGGAATTACATATGTTCCTTTTTTATTTATAATATAGAATCATGAGATTGCCATAACAGAAACTTCATTACAGATTGTTTTAGAAGAAAACGGCATTTTCGTTAATTACTGATAAACATTTGTTACTCTAGCTACAAATCTTTTCCCTTACTAAGACGGAAATTCAGTGACGTGAACTGAATAGGCTAAAGAATTACCTTAAAATCTGGACATTCCATGAACTGAACTGAATGAAGGAACTAATCTAAGTCATTTACTTACGTGTATAATCTATTTTTGCAAATCTAATCGGGTAACATTTATTTTCCTTCGCTTTTTCTCTCTGTAAATTCTCTTCTATACCGGAAACTAGAATTTGTACTATTTTTGTAGTTATTTATTATATAGATTCCTCATAATTCTTTCTTTCTCTTTCTGTTATATTTCTCCCTTCGTTTCGGTATTGTTCTCTCCTTCCTTACTTTCCTATCCGTTCATGTCTCCTTTTTATATTTTATCTTCGTGCTTTTTCGTCTTCCATTTTCTTTCTTACTGTTTTAAGACGACTTCAATCCACCCACAATTTATGTAACGGTTGTGAAAAAAAATATAGAAGTGGGTGATTAGGGCGAGGCATGAGAAGAAGCAATACACCATCCACGACCTTAAGAGAAGGAACCAGGGATAACCACAAATAACACTGCTCCGGTGGTAGCACTTGGACGCTTTCAGGAATGGCTTGATCTCTGCCTGTTTGGTGACGTGATATTGACCCTCCCATTGGCGATTAGTAAGAACTTGGTCAGTCACTGAATGCTTTCACGTGGCGCACCGTGACTTTTCTGCAAAATCACAACTTTCTACTACAAACCGTTAGGAACTCCTCTTTACGGTGGCGCAAGTTCTAGTCCAGTGGCCACGACTGCAAAATGCTTACGGAGCTTCAGTTTTTTGTTGTTCTCTTCCTCCGTATTTCTTGCAGGCTTAGGTCTGTTTCCGACGTTTTCAGACATAAGCTCAGAAAATCATACAGTTGCTCTGTTCGAATTGGTTCAACCTACATATCTACATAACAGGACCTACCTGCTTAGTCAACGATATGAAAAAAATCGAACAGCAATTGTACGTAGTGAAACCTAAGGTAAAGCTGTTCCTGTGCGGAATTAATTAAGCACTGTGCCATGAAAGCATGTGGAGGAGCGACCTCGGTACTAGCTGGAGGTGAGTAGGTAACTTGACGCCCCGGCCCCCTTACCCCCAGGAAAATCGTCACCGTTACCCATTGGATAGGAGGCTGGATGAACCCTAGAGTCGGCGTGGGGGGCTGAAGGCTAAAGAAAAATCTTGAACTGCAGAGAATCAAACCCAGGCCTTCCAGCTCGTAGCTATACCGACTGCCCTATGACAGCTATCCCGGCTCCGTAGTCAAACGTTCCATCATTCACTCACTCATGGAGCCGAGCCCTTCTTGAGAAGCCGCCAGTTGTGCAGTTACTCAAGAATTCCCAGCATTTTATGGAACCCGAAGGTTAATTACCGTGTTCATAAGAGCCTCCATTGGTCCTTATCCTGAACCGGAAGAATCCAATTCATACCACACCATCCTATCTCTCTAAGATCCATTTTAACATTAACCACCCACCTATGTCTTGGTCTTCCTAGTGGCTCTTTCTTCCTGACTTTCCCACCAATATCCTATATACATTCCTCTTCTCCTCCATTCCCGTCCTACATGCCCCGCCCATCTCATCCTCCAGACTTCATCATTCTAATTGTACTTGGAAAAGAGTACAATTTATGAACAGACGTTCCATTTAAGATTACAATTATAAAGTTCAATGAAACCAAATTTGAAGTGTTTGGCTGTCTGATATCGCCATTCCAACATTATTTCGCAGGATGAAGCTGATACACGGCCATGTCGCAACTCTTTTAAATGGTTGTTTCTCACCATGGAAATATGAATTAATTCCCCTTCCCCATTGCCTAATTGTGCCTTCTTTTATTGCTAGTGGGGTGGAACTAAGTCCCGTGTACTGCGGCCACTTCTGGCCTATTGTATCAGCGCCAGATGATAGGTGAGGGTGATTGTGGAGCAATTGTTGGAATGAAGATTGGCAGGGGAAACCGAGGTACTTGAGAAAACCTTCCCCAGCTCCTCTTTGCCCACCACAAATCCAACTTAACCAGACCCGGGATCGAACCAGGACCGCCGCAGTGGGAAGCCAGCGACTAACCGCTTGAGCTATGGCGCGACCTAATTTTGCGTTAGTAGTCGCTATCTTGCCTACGACGTCTTTGCTTTCTAATTCTTCCCGAAACTCCATTCTTGAATGTTCGTGTTATCTCATCTAACACTGCATAATATCCGAAGCTCGTAAAGTATCTTTACGTAAAGCATAAAAAACAATCACTAACCCCATCACTTACTTGCCATCCACAAAGTCTGAGGAAGCACTGAATTGTGTCTTTTTTTACATTAATCTTCCATCTACAATTTCTCTTGCCGTTCTAGCAGTGGAATGCATCGAATCGATATCCCAGTTAAATGCAGACAATGGCCTACAAAATTGGCGTAGGCGGTAATACTTCTGACTTTCATTCGGGCGGCTCCTGGTTCGAATCTCGGCCACTACGCCTATTATCCTGACTTAATTCCCTCAGTCACATCACGAAAGTGTTGGGACAGTACCTTATAATAGGCCATGACAAGATTATTTTCACGTTGTTTCCAGCTCATATTCACTATCATTCCACGCCGAGCTATTTAGAGCACAGTCCAGTGATTACAGTAGTTGTGCAACTATGCAAAGTAAGGCCTCAAAGTAATTGTAACAGTCTATTTAGCTTACGTATAAAGTACTTAGGTCGCGAAGTCTAAGCCTTAAATTATCTTCGCCCGCTAGAACACTGGCGTCGTGGGTTCGAATCCAACTCAAATTCATGGATGTCTGTGTGCGTCTTTTCTGTGTGTAGGTAGAGACCTTGTGTCTAGCTGATCCTCCGTCCAAGGAGTGCTAACTGTGTCTAACCATAGACAGACAGACAGACAGACAGAAAGATAGATTAGGATCACTCAGAATTTCATTATTAGCCATGCTATTGTTATGACTGGAGCCACTACAGGCATAAACAAAAATATTTTTTGTAAGTTTTGAGGTTTTCACGGCGATTACTTTGAAGAAAGTCGTCTTCTGGGATCTGGCGCCGTGTATTCTTTGTTTCAGACGACGTTTCGGAGGAACGTATCGCCTCCATCTTCAGGGCAGGTGAAGATGGAGGCGACAGGTTCCTCCGAAAGGTAGTCTGAAACAAAGAATACACGGCGCCAGATCCCAGAAGACGACTTTCTTAAAAAATGTTCTTTCTTCATATTTTAAGTACCCCATTTGGGAGACCAGAATTTAGCTATGAGTACTTAAAAACTACAAAGAAACACTTCGCAGGAAACTGCTCGTGTATAACGGTTATGCCTATGATGACACAGTAAAACAATTCCTTTACTAGCTCAGTTGGTATATGGAATAGATTATGGGCCGTACGACGGAAGAGTCGGGATTGGATTCACAAGAGGAGCAAGAGATACTTTTTCTTCTCCCCAGCGACATGACATGCTATAAGCGCCACCCAGCCTCCTAGCATCCAATGGCAACGGAGGTAAAGCGGTCGGAGCACGAAGCTGGCCAATAACTTCCATCTACGGCCGACGTTAAGAAAGCCTACAAATACATCTCCGCTGCCACATGCTTCTTCAAGACGTAGTGCTTTATAAAGTACGGGGGATCATCGTTCTTCGCATTTTTCAGCTTAAAATTTATTTGCCATTAAGGAGATTGGCTAGCGATAAGAAGTTTAACTTGTGTTTGAAGTTTTATCGGTCTTTGTAGCTATTCCGAGAGCTTTCGTGTTCTTAATCGGTACCTTCATGTGAATGCCGAGGTAGTGTCTTGAAATATGCAACAGTCGCTTTCTCCAAGTACTCGCTAATTTTTCATTCACCTTAGGCAATGGACCGTATAAGAGGGCGCATCTTTTGTGATGCCTATTTCTCAAAAAACGAAGCACCTAACAAAAATATGTGACACTGCTATTTATCACATTAAACCCCATAATGTCTGCCTAAAACCATTGTGATCTAAATAAACATGTTTTTGAATGGAAAGGGTCGTGACCTAATTTGAGGTACTGTTCTGGAATTTGCCTGGAGACACCGAGAAAAATCATAATGTCTGCCAGTCAAGACAGCTAGTATCCCGATCAGATTCGAATAGGTCACCTTCCACCGACTGAGACAATTTACTCGCTTGGAGACACAAGGACAGGTCTATATTTGTAAACAGTGAACTGTTTGAATTTGCAAGCTCGTCAAGAACGTCATGTGTCATGAAATTATAAATGCAAATTCGTCAGAAAGGTACGCATCCAATAGAAATAAGCCAACACTTACACCACTTCCTGAGGAATCCACTCTTAAGTTTGTCACAGAGTTTTTGTCTATGATGCATCTTGAAAGCTTGTGTACACGGGTCAGCACTTGATCACACACCTCACTACACAGCACATCGTACAACAAGAATTCCTGCGTTGGAAACAGACCTAACTAGAGTTCATCGCAGCTTGTGACTGGCTCGAGCGAAGCTGGCCGAGACACAGAACAGGTAGACATCAAGGATAGATTCAGAGAGGAAGGGGGGGGGAGACATTGTACCGGCCACAGAGAAAACATTTTCCCTATACCGAGTCACATCGGGCTCAAGACTCCTCGCCAGCTATCGACTGTTCACGTACGATTACAGTACTATTAATTCCACAATTATTATTCACGAATATGTGACAAATCCTGAACTAACGTAAAATTTCCTTCCATAAATGAAGACAATAGGATAGGCAATCAGGAAACACTTCAAATATTCTATATATCAGCAAGATATGAAGGTGAGTGACCAGTCTCACGCTCTGGCCGCTTTAGTCTCCATTTTTATCTTATAGGAGCCTGAGTGGACCAGAATAACGTTCTCGACGAAATGCAGAAAATATAATCCTTAGGCCCGTACCAAGAATCGAACTCCCATCCATCTGGAAACCAGTCGCCTTATCATTCCGCTGTCACGTCTCGTTTACATAACCTAGCTACAGTCTCGCGGCAATTTGGCAGTCCCTTCTTGGCCTGCTTGTGACGTTGTAAGCCCCAGCGCGGGAAACAATGTAGCTCTAATGTCAAATATTTAATTAAGTCTCAGACTGCAATGTCGTAACAGACAAAGTACAGGAAGCATAAAACTGGCAATGCTGTCTCCAAGTAAAGAGAGCTTAGCTCTGATACAAGGGACCATCAAAATCTGGCTGGACTGTAGTACCTCTTTACGCGAAAGTTCAACACCCTAATGCCAAGGTCTGCAACTTCAAAAGATTTTGAGCTAACTCAATCCAGTCATATATTAATTCTCTTATATCCACTCACAAGTTATACTGCCATCTCCCTCTCTCTCTCTCTCTCTTTTTTGTAAGTGGCCACTTTAAAAGAATTTTCCCACCAAATTTCTAGAGATTTCTTGATCCTCCAGTCCAAACTGTCCGTTGTAATCACCGTGATTTAATCACAGTAACAACACTGGTTGGCCTTCACAACTCACAGTGTTCCATGTTAAATGTTGCTGGAAAGGATGATTAAGCTAATCTGGTATAATAGTTCAGGTGCAAACATGTACACTTATTTCAAAATGTTACGTTTCAGCATTCTGTTGCACTGGTTAACGATTTCGTTTGCAGGGCCAGTCTTGAAAGTGCAACTTTTTGTTGGCTCGTAGCTTGTTGGTGTGTTACGTTTCAACTTGTATACGTGCTACTTCTCTGACACGTTTTAACAAAATTCAACAACAACTGGAAGTAATTTAACCAAATTTTAGGACAAGGAACTAGAAAATTCAATACAGCACAGCAATTACGGATTATCTGATGATGACCTTATAAGGTCGAAATATGTAATAGAAGTAACATTTATAAAGTGACAAAGTAGCACACAATCAATCTACGACTACGACAAGAAGTTGCACTTTCAAATTAAATCGTTTTTTTTTTTTCAAAATTTGTCAGGACTCAAATACGATGTAATAAAATATATTAGCTAATAAATTGTTAGACAGTCAGTTCGGATCAAGAACTGATATGGCCTCATCTGTTTAGCAGATTGTGAGATCTCAAGTAACTTGTTAAGTGAAAATTTAGGGATTCGATGTGGGGGTCAAAATTTGCTGCCATTTTGTAACCCTGACTGGGACATTCTGCAGCAGTGAGTCAGCGCCTAGTAGCATCGCTAGTCCCGGTGCACACAGCACTCCAAATAAAGTTATTCTGGTTATATTTTACATTTTGAAACGTCAACAATCATTATTGATGTAACATCAGCCCATCTGGTCTACTTCTGCGCAGTTTGTTATAGAAGCAGCTTGTAATCGGAGGTACACGGTTCGAATCTTAAAATATTTTAATAGGCCACGAGCACATCCTTCCAAATTATCTACTCACTATTTATCGCCGTCTTCCAATCGTATCTTATTATACAGCAGTTATAATGGCCTTCGTTATATAGCCAAAGAGACATTCAGTGAACCAACAGTTTACATGAAGGCTTAAATGCAGTTTAAGTTTAATTTCAATAAGTAAGGTCTATGTCAAAAATTAGTTTAGACAGACATTGCGATGATTACAGCCTTCTGGAATGTGACGACATACAGTGTGGTAAACGATACAGACGTTTCGGGGGAAACTGCTGCCTCCATATTAAGAGACAGGAGCAGCAGACTTCTCTGAAACGTTGTTATTTATCTACCAGCTTTTATGGCGTCAGATTTTAAAAGAAGGAAATATTAAAATTCACCGTCAAGAAATCCTCAAATCTTAAATACTGTTAGGCTTAATAAAAAGCTCATCTTTATTTTCCAGCTAGTACCCTTCAGTCACTAAAGTAGACTTCATGATTGCCTTTTTTTAATTCGTTTAGTGGGGGGTGGAGTCCAACTGGGTCCACTCGGCACGGCGGCCACTGATTGGCCTATTGTACCTGACCTGGGTGATTATGATAATGGAGAATTTGGTGGAATGAAGATTGACAGGGAAAACCGAAGTACTCGGAGATAATCCACCCAACGCCACTTTGTTCACCACAAATCCCACTTGATCAGACCGGGCTCGAACCCGAGCCACCGCGGTGGGAAGCCAGCGCCTAACCGCTTCAGCTATGGCAAGGCCTCATGATTGCCTTAGTGTGCAGATAGAACGAAAGTGTTTTAAGAAACATCTTTAATTTTATTGCATACTGAGAGCACAGTTCTATCCACTTAATAAACGAAGAATTCAGGTGAGGGTACCTTATCTCTCTACACAATAGGATCACAAAAATACTGAGCGACATTATGGTAACACAATAGGGACTCGGCTGCAAGTTGGGGAAAGAATTGTTTTTCCCATGGCTACATGTCTACAAGCACGTACATTGGACAGATGGGTATTCAGAACATTAAAAACACTGAAGCCTTTAATGTTCCAAAGTTGTGTACGTTAACGTGCGCAAGTTTGTAGCAGTTGATTAAGACGGCACGCAATATATGTTTGCAGGAAATTTGTACGAAGTACTAAGGCACTGAAAATTTGTCCGACACTAGACATGAACACAGGAATGGACCGACGCTTGGCTTCAGGCAATAATATTTCGAAAATTAGATTTCTTCTGAAAACTAGAATTCTTCTAAGGAGCCGGGATAGCGCAGTCGGTATAGCGATTGGCTATGGGCTTGACGACCGAGGGGTCCCAGCTTGAGTCCTGGTAGGGTCAAGAATTCTCTCTTTTCCACGTCGTCCAGACCGGATCTAGGGTCCACCCAGCCTCCTATTGAATGGGTAAGGGGCGCTCTTTCCCAGGGGGTAAAACAACAGGGGCTTGAAATCGATCACTCGCCTCAGCCATGTCAAGAAAATGTGGATCTATACATCCACTCCCCCATACGCCTTCATGGCGTAGTGCTGAGTTAGTTAAGCACAGGGAAAACTTTACCTTACCTTTACTGGAATTCTTACCTTTTGTGTTTGCTTAAGGATAGTATTCTAGTCTTGTGTTCGGGAGGTGCCCGCTGTTCTGATTACGACTTTCATGGTTTTTGTCAGTCTCTCCAGCAAAATTCTAGGATAATTCTTTGATAATGCCGCGAATGCTTCTTTCCATTTTTTTTTCAAATTCATTATTCACAGATAATTCTCCCAATAGATGCCTATAGTGTGGTATAGCAATAGCGTCGTTAAATAAATACATACATACATACACACATATCCTTTTAATGCTAAAACATCGCCCCTTTGGTAAAATGTGAGATTACGTCAGATGTATAGCAAGATCTGGTGGAAGAGATCTAATATAACATGACATTGGAATCCAGTCAAACAGATAAACCTGAGTATAATAATTTTATAATGTAAAAAAATCATGAGCGTGTCAAAATAATATGCAGTATTTAAATTGCAATGAATTACGTAAATAACTTAGAAGCGGAGATTTGAATGGCGAAACGACTCTGTATCAAAACATAGAGAACAAGTCATAAAAGTCTAACAGTTATATCATAGTATGGTAGTTGAAGGAAAAAATCCATCAATATTTCCATTTAGAAATGATGTCCTCCGATCGTAAGTTGTGGGTTCGAATCCTGGCAACAGTAGATCCTACGTATATCTTTGTATGCTTTATATCATCAGTCGTTTTACTTATCGACAGATAATGGCTAATATTAGGATTTTTGGGAGCTTCTTCCAACGCAGAGAATAACAGCCTCTACCGATAGACGCCGGAAAATAATTATCCCATTATGAATAACAAGGAGCCGATCACAGTAGCCACGCGGTCTAAGGCATGAACTGTCTTCGTTCATTCGAACGTTGGGGTCGTGGGTTCGAATCGCATTCGAGAAATGGATGTCTGTGTACGTTTGTAATTCTAGGTAATAGAGGACACTGTAGGTAATAGAGAGCACGACGTTTCGGAAAGTGGAACTGTTTACGTTTTCAGGTAAGAAGGAAAGACACCTACTCAGTTGGGCCTCTTACAAAGTGATTCAGATTAACTCTTTCTAAGGGGCCCAACTGAGTAGAAGTCTTCTTTTCTCACCTGAAGACGGAAACAGATCCAGTTTTCGAAACTACGTGTCCTCTATTACCTAGAATTCCCGACTAAGAAGCTTGTACGTAGTGAGATATCAGAAGTTGCTCTGAATTTGGAGCATGCTCATGTGTTACAGTTAATTGATAGCGAGCGGTGCCTGGCAACATACAGCTGCACAACCCGTTACACGAGACCACAGAACTGATGACTTTTAACTTTCGAAATTATAATTGATGTCAAGGAGATCATTAAAAAAGCAGTAATTGTAAAATTAAACCAATGCAATTCGTACATAACTTGTACACAACATTGCAAAAGCAGGTCCTGTGATCGCGAAAATGTACCGTTTGTACATTTTAACGAGGAAGTTAATTGAAGGAAATCCTTCCTCTGAGAAAGTGCACTGATATTGCCGTTTGTCCTTAATGCTATTGTTGAGAGTTAAAGGGACTAAACATTCTTAAATTTCAAGGAAAAAAAGTGGCTTCTAA